ATGCACGCACGCATGCACACACAAATTATTATCTAATGCTCTAAAGGGGAGAAGAGAGGAATAGAAGTACCATAATGTAATTGCTATATTAAAAAGAAGTGGCAGATGAGGATAATAAAGGAGGGTGTCAAAAGTGAAATACAGTAGTAGACTTAAAAACACACACACTATAGCTCTGTGATGGAGATGTTAATTGAACACACAGGAAAGAAAAGAGACAGAACAAAAAGGTGTAAAGGAAGCAAAAAATAATTTCTTTAACCTCCTCCAATGATTTGATGTAACTTCAGTGCAGATAATGCACAAAGAAAAATTGGCTGAAAAGTGCCATATATAGCTAGTATGTTCTAAAATTAAAAACTATTCACAACAATTGCAGAGCTTCATTGCTATCTATAAATATTCTCCCTAGTAAATGGCACCCAATATTCTTCGTGTTTTTCTAATTTTCAGATCTGTAAGACGTTGACACAGAAGTTTAAAAAAAATCAAGAAATGTTTTAAAATATATTCAAGGTCTTCTTAAGAAACGCAGTATGTTTGACTTTTTTTATTCTTCTCTTCCGTTGCACCAACCCCATTACCACCACATATACACACATGTAAAACTCAGGCTATTGCTAATATGTCAGATGACAAGTAGTGGTTCTTAAAAAACAAAAGAAACTATGATATCGAATGGTCCAAAACTCGAAGTCTCTGAATTCCCAGAATGAACAAGCTAAGTCTCTGAATTCCCAGAATGAGCAAGCAGATAAAAGCCACATCTGAAATGTACACACAGGGTTTTTTCTTACTGCTATTTGGGATTTGCCACTAAGATATTTTGCTGGCATTCTTTTTTTCTTAGCATTTATTCAAAANAATGTTTGAGGTGGAAGCTCAAAGACACTCATTAAATGAGAGAGGGCTTGAAAGTAACAACAGGAAAAGTCCCAAAACAATGAAGGAACTGGCTTCTATGAAAAGTCACTGCTGCCACTTCAATCCCAATAGGAATCTGATCAGCGTCTGCTCTAAATTGTCTAAAGCTATTTTACTCCTGCTCTGTTCAAGGTCTAATAATATCAAAATAATTTCACTGCAATATACTTCCTTGCATAATGCCCCCTCCCCACTTATATATACAAACACACATGCACGCACGCATGCACACACAAATTATTATCTAATGCTCTAAAGGGGAGAAGAGAGGAATAGAAGTACCATAATGTAATTGCTATATTAAAAAGAAGTGGCAGATGAGGATAATAAAGGAGGGTGTCAAAAGTGAAATACAGTAGTAGACTTAAAAACACACACACTATAGCTCTGTGATGGAGATGTTAATTGAACACACAGGAAAGAAAAGAGACAGAACAAAAAGGTGTAAAGGAAGCAAAAAATAATTTCTTTAACCTCCTCCAATGATTTGATGTAACTTCAGTGCAGATAATGCACAAAGAAAAATTGGCTGAAAAGTGCCATATATAGCTAGTATGTTCTAAAATTAAAAACTATTCACAACAATTGCAGAGCTTCATTGCTATCTATAAATATTCTCCCTAGTAAATGGCACCCAATATTCTTTGTGTTTTTCTAATTTTCAGATCTGCAAGACGTTGACACAGAAGTTTAAAAAAAATCAAGAAATGTTTTAAAATATATTCAAGGTCTTCTTAAGAAACGCAGTATGTTTGACTTTTTTTCTTCTTCTCTTCCGTTGCACCAACCCCATTACCACCACATATACACACATGTAAAACTCAGGCTATTGCTAATATGTCAGATGACAAGTAGTGGTTCTTAAAAAACAAAAGAAACTATGATATCGAATGGTCCAAAACTCGAAGTCTCTGAATTCCCAGAATGAACAAGCAAATAAAAGCCACATCTGAAATGTACACACAGGGTTTTTTCTTACTGCTGTTTGGGATTTGCCACTAAGATATTTTGCTGGCATTCTTTTTTTCTTAGCATTTATTCAAAAAAAGTGAAAAGGTATCAAAATAAAAACCTACCCACACTCTGAGGCAAGAAGACACATGGGTTCTTTTTTATTTTTTTCTCTCTTTCTTTTTTTTTTAATATCCCAGCAGTAATTTCTGACTTAAATACCCATCAATCAACTGTAATTTAGACAGTGCTACCTACTTTGGGTGTTATGCACGTGTGTGTTTTTTTTAAAGTTCCAAAAGGTTGGTAAGATATCTTCTCTAAATTTCCTCTTTACTTTTGAGTCTTCCAACTAAAATCATTAATAAAAACAAAAAAGTAAAAGCAGCAAATAAATGTAATTACCAAGCTCCTATCAAGAGTTCTGTCTAAGTAAGCCAAATGTGTGAACCTCATGTTAGAATACAAACAAACAAACAAAGCCTACCCTAAATCAAGTAACCTCTATAATGTTTGAGGTGGAAGCTCAAAGACACTCATTAAATGAGAGAGGGCTTGAAAGTAACAACAGGAAAAGTCCCAAAACAATGAAGGAACTGATCGTTCAAGTGATCTTTTCACTACCTCTGTATCAATAGAGGGTTGAAAAAAAAAAAAAAAGAAAGAAAGAAAAAGCTCCTACAACTTTACAGACACTTCATGTTTCTCCGACAAATCAAGATATCCTGGCACGTAGAATGAGGGTTCCACAGATCCTGAGTAACAGAGTAATCGTGCTTTACAGTCAAAGGGTTCTTTTCAACACACCAAAGTTGCCTACTACCTTTACCACAACACTCAACATTCCAGGAAAGGTTTCTTCCTTCTCCTCAATTCTTCTAAAGTATAAGTTAAAAAATAAAAGGGAGGTAGATCTTTTCTTTTTTTTTTTTTTTTGAGTTTCACCCAGGGGTGCCCTCTCAATGCAAAACTCTGTGTGTGTATTTTCACCTTAACACAGTTGGCAATGATCCTTATCACTTTCAATTTACATTATTTGATAAACTATTTTTTAAACATATGATTCTAGATACAATACACAAAACCTTAATTTAGATATTAAAAAAACCCCAAATCTCCAAACATTAAATATATTGATGTAAAATTTTAAAAACAAAATGTATAATCTAACCATAAATATACACCTTTAGAATGTTATTTTGATGAATACGACTCCTTCCTATCACGAGGCTTTAGCTAATATGAACAAGGAGCAAACTCTTCAACTCACACCTGAACCGGATCTCCATTTGTACCCATCCACTTTGATCCACTGCCTCAAGAGATTTTAATTAGCAGACTAGAATTAAAGACTTTGTCCACAATGTACACTTAAGTGCACTGACAGGTTTCCTTTCAATAAAAATCTGATAAAGTATCTTCAAAAATAGACTCACTTTAGTCCGGATTAGCACACATGCTTTTATATTTTGATTCTACATTTTATGAGCCAAGATCAGCAGAAACTCATACTCAATTAGAAACAAATTTCAACAAACCAAATACTTAAAGTAAATAAGCCTCAGAGAACAAAGAAGAAAAAGAGAAGGAAGAAAAAAGGAGAGAAGAAAAAAAATATATACACTCTTAGGTTTCCTTTTCTGGGCTAATAGAAAGAAGAAACTAAAGAGTGTGACAAACTGAAAAAAGCTCTTTTGATACTTGTATGAAATCCATAAATCTCTTAAAAGGTGTCTCACAGCTAAAATAATGCAATTAACAGCTTTGCAATAAGGTTAGGCTTTGGCAAGGAAACCTGGGAGACTTAAAGGTCTGAACATCACTTCTCAGGTGCTTTGTCTGGGCTGTTATGCACAACACAAATAACATGCAACAAAGGGGCTGCTTACTAATTTTACATACATTTCAAGACTCAAGTAATTACATATTCAATCTACAGTCATATCTTGAAACTATTTATTTTTAAAGGAGAAACACAGAGAGCTTTCAAAAAGAAAAAGCCACCCCTGCAGTGCCCTCTCCCCCCACACCTTTTATGTGTAACTATCAATGTATATCAACTGGGCATGCAATCATATTTATTGTCACTTTCATTCATGTCATGCCCTTGCTTATATGGTTTAGATATGAATTATTGACTGTTACACTCCTTGTTGTAAAAAATAAATAAATAAATAGGATGTCAGGTACTTTGCAGTGCTCTGAAGCGAGCGAGTAAGGCAGGGCCCAGCACAAGCTCCCGCTTTATATAACCACCCCCTGTCCCTCATCTTTATGCCCTGGTTTGAGATCGCCTTCTCAACTCTTTCTTCTTACAAAGAAGAGATTTACCCACTTAGGAAAATTAAGGATTAAAATAAACAAACAAGAAGATGTTACTAAGTGTCCTTCCCAGAGCATCTGTTGTTTAAGAACACCTCTGATTGATGACTGGTATTTTTTAATTGTTGCTTTAAAATTTAAATGCCCTCCTGGGATGTGTTATAAGTGTGTTAGTCCATGATATGAGGTCTAGAAAGCAGAAAAACAACAGTGAGTGATCTCATGGCATTATACTCTCCTAAACCCAACGATTCTCCCTGATATAAAATCACAGGCTACTCAAATACCGATAATCTAATGTTGTATACAGCGCTTTCCACAAAGGTATCTGACAGCACTCTCTGTTGAGAACCTCTAGTCTGCTGCTTTGTGTAATTAAAAGAAAAAAAAAAGGAAACTTCAAACAGTTTAGGCACCCCCCAGGTCCAACTCCAAAAAAATTAGGATTTTAAATATAAGCCAGAATATATTCCTTTAGGAAAAGGACTTTTACTTTCATATTGTCCCAAGAAAGGCACAACATTCTATAAATTTCTCTTCAGAATCTATATTTTAGCCCCAATTTCAAGGAGAATGGGAATAGAGTTAAGGAAAATAAAACAGTAATGCTTGATATAACTGTCAAAGAAACTTCATGCTTTTTTTTAAAGAAAGCAGGGCAAGGACTTTCTGTGAGAATATGCAGTCAATTTTGATAGCACTTTATTCTGAAATTTTAATATTGAAATAATAGGTTCGTGATTTCCAGTTAAGTGATTCAATTAGCCAAGGAAAACATTAAAATGTTAGAATCTCATTCCTACCTGTTTTTTCTTTGATTTCACACAACACATTAAACAAGGCAGGCTTCATTCTGTGGCAGTTTAAAGCATGTTTTCTGTAAGAAAGAAACAACAACATGATAGCTTAGGTGTACTCTCAAGATCAAACTGCTGATAATGCACAGGGGGAAAAATTGAACATTTAGCCAAAATTATATACCCAGCACAACTCTGTAGCATGCTTCAATTGTTTTTATGACTTAATATACAGAGTCCCACCACAGGAAAAAAAAACATAACGTTAATTAGCAGAAAGAGAGTAGGGATTTAACTACAGAACAGAACTAACCTAAATTATGCCCATTTAGGAGGAGTTGTTTTTTTTTTTAAGTAGTTTAATCAAAGTAGAATTTTTAAATCAATAATCCTACCCAGGACAATGAATACAGCAAAGCCAAATGCATAGGTTAACAGTTTTGTACAATCTATGCAATGACTAGAACCTAGGAGCTGTCTGCTTCTCAGTCTGTGCTTTTTCAAATTTAATTCATCCATGTGTTCGAATTCATTCCACAGATGCCCCTGTATTCTCATAAACACAAGATGCTTGAAAGGTCTTCTGAGTAGAACTGTCAATTTATAAAATTTCAGTCCCCAAGTTAAAGAGTATGGAAATGCATTGCCAGGGGGCAAACATACCCATATGGGGAATAAATTCATTTCTCTGTGTTCACATCATGCCTCTTGTGCACACACTGCTTATTTGCAGGTGTTGAAATTCAATTATTTACAATTAGGACCTTACACCATTGGGGAAAAAATAAATATAATTTTGCCTTTCAGATTAGTAATTTACCTGGTTCATGTAAGTGTGTGTGTGTGTGTGTGTGTGTGTGTTTGTATTCAGAATGCACTTGAGGAACAAAACAATATCTTTCCTTCTATTTTATTATGGAATCATTTACAGAATGATACTGTTTTGGAAACAAAATACTGATCACATCAGCTATTAGTTAAGGGAATTCTGTTTACTAAATAAAATTAATATGTAAAGATAAATGGAAACCCCTGGCACTCAAAACACATGTAATTTGTTTTTTAATCCTTTTGAAAGTTAAAAAAATAGAACCATATCCTCCTGAAGAACAGAAATCAGAAGCATGCTCTCTATACTGTACAGCAGGGAAAAAACTCATTAAAAATTCAAGCGTATACAAATGAACATATACGGTGTATCTAAAATACTAATGATTTACCTTGTAAATAAGAAATATACTTTATGAAGGTATGACTAACTAAAGGAAAAAAGGACATAGTATTTACTAAGTAGGGTTACAATGTTTAACCAAAAAGAAAGCTCAGTGGTGATTTACTCAGTTCTCATGTGGGGTGAAAAAAAAAGATGGAAAAGATTTTAATGTATTAATTCTTATGCATAGGCCCAAATGCAAAGAAAAATTCTTGCACAGCTTTATGGAAATATTGCATTTCCACAGCACCCAAATAGGGTTATAGAGGGAGAAGTGAAAATTTTCCCATCCCCAAATTGTATCTGATCTCTCTCAGCATCTAGGCCATTAAAAGGGGAAACCCGCCAAACCATGTTTGTCCTCAGTTTCACAAAAAAGAGAGGGACTAAACATCAGTAAAGTAGTGAGCATCTGTTCTTACAGGCCCTTTCCACTCCACGAACTTGTTATTAAACCAGTTTAATGGTATGTCTGAGTATATTTTCCTGAGTGTATTTTTCTGGAACAATGTAATGTTCCAATTCAAAAGAATTCAAAATTGCCAGTGGGAAACCTTTCACTTTCCATACCTATTAGCTTTTCTTCAGATAAAAAAATTTCATAAAGAGCACAATTAATTTTTGAAATCTTTCCCCTATCAACAAAACAAAAACAAAAACAACAGTTTGAGTCTTTGAACATTTCCAAGTTTTCAACCACTCATAAGCCTTAGTACTTTTGAGTTTACATGTTGCATGTGCTTGCAGCTAGAATGAGTGTAATTCCTAACATCTATGCTTTTAGCTGCTTCCTCTCATTTTCTCAACTCAAATTCCTATTTCCCTTAGACAAAAATACATATCATGATGTCTTCATATAACTAAGTCATATGAGGTATAGAAATTGTGTATATATGTTTAAAAGATTTTCAGAACAACAAAAACAAAAAAACTACTTCAGAGATTTAACAAAGCTGGGTAATTGTATAGACATCTGTGGTCATTAGATTTTTTAAATTCTTCGTTTCGAGTTCAGCCTTGGACAAGCTGTTAGTGGGTGGCCACTTAGCCTATGTTTTATTTTGAAAGATAATTTACTATAAAATCTTAAAGTAGAGAACTATATACCTGACGGTGGACTGAGTTGGGAAGCTACACAATTTATATGTTTCCTTAATGAAGATCTTCATGTCCTATAATATTGAAATACGTAATATTCACATATGCTTTCATTTCTATTTAGTTGCATTCTAAGTGGTCCTGAGAGAAGCATGGGGAAAAGAGCACGCTTGATTTTTATGCCCCCACCCCTTTTTAAAGGACCATTCATAGATGTCTGTGTCACAGAAGGTTAGTAGACCAAGTCAAATTAAGAAACAATAAAGTTAAAGCTAAAAATATAAGTTTCTTAAAACTAACAACTATGCCTAAAAGCAAAATTATCTTTTCTCTCTTTCCATTAGCTTTACTTTAAAAAATACAATTCAGTGAATGCAAAATATTTTCTGGATAGCTGACAACTACTGACAAAGAAATAATCCTGCTTTTTGTTTTGTTTTCCTTTGTATTTGGGGGAAGGGGAAAAGATAAAAATTAATTTTGGAGGAGTAAGTCAAGAAAGAAAATTAAACTTGCTGAATTAGGTAAGGAGTCAAGTAAATTTGCAAATAAAGTGTTCTTGGGACATTTTATTTTGTAACGTTACGGAGTCCCTCAACCAGAAGGCATGGAATGCTTTTCAAAACTTGACAATTCGGCTCTCTTATACTTTTTTAAAGCAGTAAAAAGTGCCGAGGGCCGCTTTTGGATCAGTTGGCAGCATTTTCGGCGTGTCTGAGTGTCTGTGTGTATACAATCAGTTGGCAGCATTTTCGGCGTGTCTGAGTGTCTGTGTACGAATACCTTTATATTCACACACACACAATATGTACACAGCCACATCACGGCATGGGCGATTACACTTTCGATAACAACGCTCCTTCAAATTTTACTCCTCCGCCATATAGTTGCTTGTCAAAATGGGAAAAGAAATAACATTTAAAAAGAAAGCGCTGTGGTGATTCGGTTCCCATTGTTTCCCCCTGCGAGAGGGAGAAAAACAAAAAACCCCAAGAAAGGAAAAGAAAAGCCTCCATCTCACCTGGCCTGCGCCTCATCCAAACTCTGGTCTGTGATGGTCATAATTTGCTGTAAAATGTCTCCAATGTCCTGCTTCCTCCCGCCCTCCCCCTCGGTCCCTCCGGCCCCATCCTGCAAGTGCTGGGACAGGCCGGGGTGTCCGGCCATCCCGACCCCAGCATGGGAATGCATCAGCCTGGGCTGCTCGTCCATCTCCAAAGGCTACGGCAGCCCCCGGCTCTTCCTCTTCTGCTCCTCGGCTCGGCTCCTGGGAAGCACCAAGGCTTTTTATCCTTCAAGCTGTCTTCAGATCCTTTTCAGGATAAACAGGGAAGGGGCAAAAAAAGAAGACCCAAGGAAAAAAAAATCCCTTTGCCTCTTTAGAGGATGGTGGGAGGATGGGGAGCGGGGAGGGGGAGGGGGGCGTGAAGGGGTTGAGGGGTGAGGGTGGGGATAAGGGCTGGTGGGGAAGGGTGTTGACTCCAAAAAGCAAGAAAAATAAACCACCTTCCCACTTGGCGAAAAGAAATCAGAGCTGGCTTTTGGTTTTTCAGTCCAGTCTCCTTTGCAAGGCAGAAATGGGCTCCCGGCGCTTAAATCTGTGGCTTAATCCTTTTGCAAATATGCATTGATCGGGAGAAAGGAGATGAAGGCAGGGGGATTGCAATGCAAACTTTCCCCCCCACCCCCCGCGGCCC